CTTCCTTCCTTCCTTCCTTCCTTCTTCCTTCCTTCCTTCCTTCCTTCCTTCCTTCCTTCCTTCCTTTCTTTCTTTCTTTCTTTCTTTTTTCTTTTGGTTTTTTTTTTGTTTTGTTTTTTTTCGAGACAGGGTGCTTTGCACCTTTCCTGGATCTCGCTCTGTAGACCAGGTTGGCCTCGAACTCACAGAGATCCACCTGGCTCTGCCTCCCGAGTGCTGGGCTTAAAGGTGTGTGCCACCACTGCCCGTGATCCCCCTATAAGCTCATGTGTTGGAAGCTTGGTCACCACTGTGGCAAGTGGAAGTGACATAGGAACTGATTGGGAAGTTTTGGGGCCAACTTGGGACACTGCCCACAGAAAGGATTATGAAATCCAGTGGCTCTCTGGCATCCAGTTCTGCAATGTTCCTACACACACGCACACGCACACGCACTGGCACATGTGCACCTCTACCATGATGTGATACAGCCAAGAGAGCCCTCCACAGAGCTGAGCTGATGCTAGTTGGCACCATGCCCTGGAACCTTCAAGCCTTTGAGCTGAGTAAAGTCTTCTCTTTGTAAATACATACGACAGGTATTTTGTTAAAGCAATGGCATATAGACTAAAAAAATGTCTTGGGAAGCAAAAAAGGATTTTTTTTTTAGATATGATTAGGTGAATGACCTTAGGATGTGGAGATGATTCTAGATTATTGATGGTGGGCTGATGAATTCACGTGGAAAGCACACATACAGTGTGAGGGCTCACCTCACAGAAATGGCCAGCAGAACCAGAGGCCCCGGATGCCTGGGTTTTAGTTCTTGGCTCTCCCGCTCAGTCCTTTTCTAACTTGAAGTTCCTGAACTCTAGGCCTCCGTTTCTTCAGCTGCACAGGGTGGAGTAGAGACAGTGTTTTGTCTGTGACGGTGAGAGCACGCGGCGGACACTTTCATTCCTTGCTCGTTGTGAACGCTCTGCCGTCTCAGATACACCATCCCTCTTAGGTGACTTGTTCTTTCACTTCAGGACAAAAGCACCTCTGGGGGCTGGTGAAGTAGGGCTTTCAGCATCCATCCTGGGACTTGTGGTCCCCACCTGAAGCATCTGGTAGCTCTATTTGCTCCCATCTCTGCCCCCTCCCATCCCCACCTAACCCCGGCTCTAACACAGTCTGCAGAGGAGTAGCAGCAAACCCACCCTTATCTGTGGAAAACGATGCCCCAGAACCCCAGGGTCCCAGTCAGAAATACCTAGAAAAGATGACAACTCGCTTTCTATTGATGGAAGGTGTGGGCCAGGAAGAGAGCACCTGGCAAGGGTCATGACACTAGGCATGCCCTGGTTTTCATGAACCATGTTCAACAGCAAGCACAATTCAGGCTTATGGCACATCGGTTTCCCAGCACGGCAGTTCCAAGGTAGAGTTCCAGGGTCAGAGCGAAGGCCTTCTGCATTGCTGGTTTTCCCAAGGGTCTGTTGTCAGGGGACTGTGTGCCATTGCTGGTGAGTCTGGAGGGGTTCCAGCCAGGTGAGGGTTTCTGGGGAAGATTCAGTAAGCTAAGCTTTATAAGAACTTTATAAGAATATAAACAGAACTTCACTGTTAACCCTCTCCCCTTCAGAATGGGACATAGACACAGGGAAGTGCCTGAAGACATTCAAACACAAAGATCCCATCTTGGCCGCCAAGATCAGCGAGAGCTACATCGTGAGCAGCTGTGAGCGAGGCACGGTCAAGGTGTGGCATATTGCCACAGCTCAGCTGCTAAAGGTGAGTCGGCAGTGAGCAGGGACATTGGTGACGAGTTACAGCCAGCAACCGGGGAATCCCAGAACCACTCAAGGAAGGGTCTCCAAAGACATTCAGGGTAGGCCAGGATCCTAGGTTCCACCCCCACATCATGCTCCACATTATCAAACAGTGGGTAGATGAAGGCTGCCTAGGATATGAGCCCCAGGGCCTTGTAACAGAGGCAGAGGTAAAGTACCCTTTCCTCTTCGGGAATATCCTGCCTGGGTGGTCAGGGGATGAATACATTTTTCCCCCAATAAATTAAAATTATTTTCTTTTTTTCTAAGGAAGCCCCACCACCAATTATATCAGCAAAAAAATTCAGTGTTGGAAAAGTAATTTTTGTCTTTACTAATGATAAGAGAACACCCGACATCCTGAAAGCCGTTAGAGGCTGCCTTAGTCCAAGTTTGGTTATTCTAATATAGAAGTTTACTTAGTTCCTAGTTCTGGAGGCTGAGAAGTCCAAGTGCGGTGCTGTCATCTGGTAAAGGCCTTTGGGATGGGCCATGCCACGGTGGAGAACGTCGGGTGGAGAGACAGCGTGTGGCCGAGAGCACTGCTCTTATAATCAAATCTCTTTTGGGACAAGCTACAAGTCTGAGGGTTCAACTTCCAGCACCTGAATTCTGTGGGGTGCACCCAAACTCCAGCATGTGTCCACGAACATTCTTGCTGGATTTGGACGCCTGGGTTTAGTGGGTACCGGGCAAGGTCTGGCTTGTGCCAGGACCACAGGACCACAGTGAAACGTAGGATGTTTCCACCTCAGTCCTGTCATTGTGGTTGAGCCTCGGCTGCAGGCACAAGAATGCCCACCTCTACCCTCTGAGTCGTGGCGAAGAGCTGAGGATGGCGGCAGAGAAGAGGTACTTCATGCCTCTCTGTGCTCCGGGGAGATGGCGCCTGTCCCAGCCACTGACCCACCAGGACAAGAACTTCCCTTACTCACATTTCTCCTGAGTGGGGGAAGAGCCTGCTGCCAAGAGGGAGGCCCAGGCTTCTCTGGTCTTAGAGGAGAAGTTAAGTCAGCTGAGGGATATGCTAAGTGAGGGGCAGTCACGGAGGCGTGGTGGGGATCTGAAAGTGGTGGCATTTTTTTTTTTCTTGCAGACTCTCACTGGGCACGAGGGAGCTGTGAAATGCCTGTTCTTTAACCAATGGCATCTCGTCTCCGGAGGTGCTGATGGCCTGGTCATGGCCTGGAGCATGGTGGGAAAGTACGAGCGGTGCCTGATGGCCTTCAAGCATCCTAGGTAGGTGCTGGGGAGTGGAGCGGACACTGGGGCCTTCCCTCCTTTCCCTAGGACTGTGGAGACTGCGGTCTTCAGTGGATGGGTCCCTCTGTGCACTGCTGCTCTCCTGACCCTTCTTCTCCTCATTTCACTCTGCTTTCTTCCCATCTGTTACCATTTCTACCACCATCCTTCCTTCCGGACAGCCTTTCCCACCCTAGCTTGTTTCTCCTGAGAAATAATAGCACCAGATAAACATTTTGAGAAGTTGTTGGGGGAAATGGGGTGGAGTGAGAGTAGGTCTCCCTATGTAGCCCAGGCCGGCTTTGAACTTGTGAGCTTGCTTTGGCCTACCGACTGCTGCGATTACAGAGAACACGTGACACACGGTAGACTCACATCTGTTAGCTATCTGGGGCACTGATGGATTGTCTCAATAATGCCAACTCTAAACTTAGAATTCCCGAACTTGGCCTTTCTGCCAGGAAATGTGCTCACAAAACCTTAAAATGATCCACGTGTCAGAGTTTTAAAAATAACAAAAGACATTTTAAAAGTTTATACTTCAAAGTCTATGGACTAAGTTTTTCTCCAGGATTGCAAATGGTTTTGTTTTCCATTCCAGTTCCAATTCAGTGCTGATGGCTGCTTGGCACCTATTAAGAAGTTTTCTGAGGTCACAGATGGGCTCACTTGGAAAGGCTATTGTGGCCAATTAATGATTCCACTTTGCCTATGGTTTTATAGACTACACAGATAATGCTTTTCACCCTCAATGAATTAAAGTGCTAGGAAACACAATACTGTATTACTTGATTAAAAGAGCAAGTGGATTCCCTAGAGGGATCTATCTGAGGATAGCTGTTTAATAAGTCAGGCTCTAGATTTCCTGATATTCCTCATACACTGGCCTTGTGAGAGGTGTGCAAGATATGTGTATACATGGGTATGCTCTTTGTGGTACACGATGAGTATGTTATTAGCAGGTGAGTGCCAGGAAATACCTACGCTCAGTGAATTGACCTAATCCCCAGGGAACTGTGAGCAAGCCTTTCAGTGTAGCACCTAGACAATCAAATTGCTACTTCAAGGAGAAAGTCAGCTTTATGATGTCTCCTGAAAATGATTAACTATATATATTTTTTTACAACCTTCTAAACAGCATCCAGTAAGACTTAGTGACTGGCAAATAATAGTTTCAGTAAGCCTGACAGTTTAGTTGTCATCTTGTTAACCCATGGGCCTTCTGTCTGCTAGCAGACAACTTCAGATAGCGCCGCTCTTGCTGGACATACCATTCATATGTGTTATTTAAAAAATTTAAGTTAGATTTACTCATTTTATTTTATGTGTGAGTGTTTTGTCTGCATATAAGTATGTGCACCATGTGAACTTGGCGCTCGGGGAGGTCAGAAAAGGGTGTTGGCTCCCCTAGAACTGGAGTTATAGGTAATCACATGTAAACCATCATGTGTGTGCTGGGAACCAATTCCAATTCTCTGCAAGGGCAACAAGTCCTCTTCCTCATTGAACCACCTCTCCAGCCTCATACTGGTTCTTGATACCTGACTTGGACACAGAAAAACCATAGCTACCTGGAGGATGTGACTAACGCTTTTGTTTGGTGGCCCCTCCAACCCTCTGTAATGGTGTTAGCTAGATACAAGTGCTCAAAAATATTTGATTGGCAGCGAGCATTCATTCAGAGATTGCTTTTCTGGAGAGTTCTAGTGATTGGATTGATACTCATCTTTTGAATATGGTAGACAGTTACTATGTTAGGGTCTGCAGATCACCCTACAAAAGATCACCACTCACATATACAAAAGCAAGAGTGTTTATTTCTCAGAGAAGAATTCCTGCATGCCGGGGTCAGCCACACAACACAATGGTGATGACTCCCAGAGAAGCTCACAGGCTCCTTTTACAGACAACCAGGAGGGGATTAGGTCATCCTAAACAGGACTGGCCAAGTGAGCAGCAGCCACACTAACATGTTTCTGATTGGCTGGGGCTGTAAGTGCTGAATCATGCCTGGTATGCAACATCTCCCTCACCTGCCTAATCAGAAACAGAAACTGAGACATAAACAGAAACTAAAACTTAACTGAAACTCAGGCCTCGTAGGGGCTGGGCCAGGAGATGCCCACCATGGTGCTACCATGGCCTCTCAACTATCTGGGAGAGGAGCTAGAGAAAGGCATCTCCTTTTTGAGTTCAATTATGTTTTCAACTAAACTTATGATTTTTGATTACAGTGTGGGAGAAGAATATGGGAGAAGAAATCTGAGCATGGAGAGTTGGTTTGACAGATGGTGATCTTTTTTTTTTTTTTTTTTTTTTTTTTTTTTTTTTTTTTTGGTTTTTCGAGACAGGGTTTCTCTTATGTAGCTTTGCGCCTTTCCTGGAACTCACTTGGTAGCCCAGGCTGGCCTCGAACTCACAGAGATCCGCCTGGCTCTGCCTCCCAAGTGCTGGGATTAAAGGCGTGCGCCACCACCGCCCGGCCAGATGGTGATCTTATTCTCTCTCTCTCTCTCTTTTTTTAATAATCTTCAATGTTTTTTCCATAACTCATACCATAATTAACTTTTTGCAATTTATAATTGAGACATAGTTTTCATGATGTAAAATTCACTACATTAATATGTAGCAGTTTATAGTATATTCACAATGTTGTACAGCTGTTACCATTATCTACCCATAGAACTTTCCATCTGTCAGCAGGAATGTCCCCTAGTTCCTTCCTGACATTAGTTTCTTGAACCTTCTCTCTTCTATTTCCTTTTCAGTGCTAGGAGTTGAGCAGGGCCCATAGCCCAGGCAAGCACCCCGGGCCACACCCATATCCTTTCTTCTCTTATTTTCTTGTCAGTTTTAGTAAAGTCTCATTGTTGACTGTCTATCAAGGTCTGTTGATCTTTTCAAAGGATTAGCTTTTGGTTTCATGATTTGCTCTATTTCTTTAATTCTCAACCTAATTAACTTATGCTATCAGGTTTTAGGATTTCTTGCCTTCTGCTTGATTTTGATTTGTTTTTTCTTCTTCTAGTTTTAAGGTAAAGGGGTCGATTACTGATTGGAGAAATGTGCACATTCGTAGCATAAAATTTTCCCCAGCATTATTTTACCTGTTTTGTTTTTAAGACAGGGTCTTGTTCTGTAGCTCAGGCTGCCCCCAAACTCAAAGTCTACTACTACTTCAGCCTCTTGAGTGTTGCGATCACAGGTATGCTTTGACATGCTGTATTTTCATTTTCATTCACCTGCAAAATATTTTCTTATTTCCTTCCTGATCTCTCCTTTGGCCTGTCTTAGTACGCTCTTCCACCTGCACAGAACATCAAGGTTAGCTGGGGGAGGGAGCTCAAGGCTCTCTCAGACCTTTCCTGAGCATGGGCTGGACAGTGTGGATGTTAGATTCTGGGGGATATGCTGGAGATTTTTGAGGGCCCTGGACCTCTCATTCCCTGGCATTTCCTGACTTTTTAGTTAGTGTGTCATTTGCCCCAGTGACTTTCTAGTTCCTCAGGTAGCAAGAGCCCAGTTATCCACATGAGACTTTCCAGCAAATGCCCCTCGGGGAGCAGATCCAGCACTGAAAGAATTCTTGGTAACGAAGACAAAGCTTGAGAGAGTCTTCCAAGAACCCTTAGACAGTCCACATAACTCATCACTAACACAACCCGTCTGCTGCTTTCTTGTGCCAAGAATGTGGCTATTTTTCCCCTCACTACCACTCAAGTGAAGAATGGACTAGAGTCAGTTAACATGGCCCAAACCACGCCACTCTTATCTACTCTAAGACCATTTTTCCGTGTCGAAATGTTCCTTAGGCTGTCGCAAACTTTCTGCACTTTCCCCATGACCCTGAAAGAGTGGATTCTGACAGTTTTTTTCAGTTTGTGTTGCTGTTCCAGAAGGGTGGAATTTTGTAGTTTCCATCTCCACCCTCTTCACTGATGTTACTCTCTGAGTAAAGGTCAGAAAGAGCAAAGCAGAAGACATCCTCTGGGCAGATAAAACCCGAAAGGAGTCTGAGCTAGTCTGAGACCCGTAACCACCACTGAGTCAGGTACTGGGCAAACTTAAAAAAAGAAATCAGCTAATTAAATTGTTGCAGAAATTTTATGAGGTAGAAATGACAATTCCTTTCAATGGGGTGTGAGGTGTGTATGGGGGGGGTGGAGGTGAGGGAAGACTGGAAGGTTGAGGTGCTTCCTCAGTGATGTGCAGCAAGGATGTGGTGGCATCAGGTTTCATGGTAGATGTCTGACTCTGAAGCCTATGTGTAACCATAGGCTATACTGGCACAGGTTGAACTACCGAATGTCACAGGAACCTGGGGGAAGTGTAGGTCCAGCTCAACAAAGTCAAGAAAGACAGCGAGGCAAACCCTTTTGCACAGGACATCTCTGTCCCAGGTCTGGATAACTGCAGGGGCAGACTAAGAGGTGCCTAAGCTATCAAAGCACTGGGACTTCATTGGATGTTTAACTATTTGAATAAAAGCCTAGTTTGATATCTTCCACCTCCACCTAAGGAGGAATCCAAGCCACACTGGCCTCATGGCTGTTTTTAGATATCCTGAGCATGTATCTGCTTTCTGAGGTCTTTGCTGTTTCTTTTTTGATAGTTGTTAGGTCGCTGAAGAATCTTCACCTGGCCCTGAGATCAACCAAAGTTGAAGTCCAATAGGGTAGACTTCATTCTTTTAACATTTCTGTAGCAATGACCATACTCTGAAGATGTAAGTCACCTTTAGAATAACTATATATTTAAGACCTGCTGCAGGCTAGGTACTGTGCTATGTGTTGAACATTTGGCGATAAATATGACATGAGTTGTTCCCAAGAGAATCTGTCAGTGTATGTGAAGTGTGTATACATATGTAGTGGGGAGGAAATGGAGAGAACTCTGGTTTTGTTTTGTTTTTTCTTGTTGTTGTTCAACAAAGTGCCAGATGAATTAGGCCTTGGCTGGTGATTTCTCATTGCTCAAATGAACCACCCAAAGCTGGATGGGCTGTAAAGAAAAGAGTCTTATTTAGCTCACAGTTTTGGATGCTCAAAGACCAGGCAGCCCTGTCTGTCCAGCTTGTGGTGAGGGCCACGTTGGTGGCATCTCAACATAGTGGTGACCCAGGAAGGACTGAGTGTGTGAAGTGGCCTTGCTTTCTAACAATGCCTTCCTCAGTTACTAACTGGAGATGTGTACAAACTGCCAGCTACGTCATCTTGCTGAGAGTGGGGCCTCCTGTGATTTAACTAGGTCCTGCCTCTTCAAAGTTTTTCTTAACATGGCTGCCCCAGAGACCAATGTTCCAGCACATGAACCATGTGGGGATACACACGACCCATACCTAAGCCATAGCAGATATGGGTGGGTAGATCATAACCAACAGGCTTGCTTTGCATGCAAGATCTAGCAAGTTGATGTGATTACATTCAACTATTCAATGCCATCAATGAAAAAGGTATTGTATTTGTCAGAACTGAATAAACCAACTTGAACCCTGTAGTTGGGGAAAGACTGGTTTGGAGGCCTCTCTCTGGGTTTTTCCCTGGTTTCCTTCTTGCCTATTGGCCATCACCAAAACACACAAATCTCATCCCAACGAACATATAATTTTCTTTAAGGATATTCTTTGTTGGAAGGATGAAAGTCACTCATTAAAGACCGAAAAAGAGAGTCAATACATTTAAGACATCTGTCCATATAAAACTAATCCTTAGCCTTACACTGTTCTTTCTTACATAACAACACTGTTCTAAACTGGATCAAAACCCAACTCTCAGTATAAATAAGTAGCTAAGACTCAAATTGCATGAAAAAAATAAATGGCCATCTGATATATCAACCCTCTCTCTCCAACTTCCCCCTTACAAGCCTGAAGCAGTGTCCTTTCTCCTTGGCTGACTTGCGGCCTGGGACTAAATTGCAAACAGCTGCAGGGTGGGGATGGGATGGCTGATGGTTAAGGATTTAAACCTAGAATTATAAAAGATGGAAACAGTATCTCAAAGACAGACAAGGCTCCTATCTCCCAGCTGCACACCAACACTAGAGATCACGAGCAAATCCCAGAGTCTTCCAGACGGTGGGTACTGCCTGTTTGTTGCTCTGTTCCCTTCCAGGGAGGTGCTGCAGGTGTCTCTTCTGTACCTCCGTGTCATCAGTGCCTGTGGAGATGGCAAGATCCGCATCTACAACTTCCTCAATGGGAACTGTCTGAAGGTGATAAAAGTCGATGCCAGAGGTGACCCCGTGCTATCCTTCTTTTATCAGGGCAACAGGTGGGTGGTAGGTAGGTGTGGAGGGTGGAACCATGAACAATTCTGTGTGATTTGCTTTTTCCTCCTCTGGGACTCTGGATTCACTGGTAGAGCACAATAGGCCACGCTTCCCTCCAGCTTGGCTGAAGGAAGTCTCTCTGGTGGGACTAACTGGCCTTTGCCCCAGACTTAGTGATCAGGGCACAATTAGAGCTGTGTTTACTCTTTTTTTTTTTTTTTTTGGTTTTTCGAGACAGGGTTTCTCTGTGTAGCTTTGCGCCTTTCCTGGAACTCGCTTTGGAGACCAGGCTGGCCTCGAACTCACAGAGATCCGCCTGCCTCTGCCTCCTGAGTGCTGGGACTAAAGGCGTGCGCCACCACCGCCCGGCCTGTGTTTACTCTTAAGGGTGTCATGATGCCCAGCTTGGATGATCTCCTTTGGGTTTGAGCAAACAGAAACCTGGTGGAGATTTCTTAACAGAATCTGACTCCTCAGACTCCATTTCAGCATTTCCAGCCCAAACAAGATGCTTTTCCAGAGGTTACACTACAAGTTAAAGTCTTAAAATTACAGTATTTAAGGAGGGAGCACACCTGCACACACCTACACACCTGCACACCTGCACACACCTGCACACACCTGCACACCTGCACACACCTGCACACCTGCACACCTGCACACACCTGCACACCTGCACACAACTGCACACACCTGCACACGCACGCTTCAGTTTCTTCGTATAGTTTCAAGAAATCTAGACACACAAAGAGGAAAGCAGCTTACTTTGTACAAATGAAAAAAAAAAGTGAAAGAAATGAGTGGGAGATGGGAAGTGTGCTGGGGTGGAAAATATGAGTTCCAAACCTTTGTCCCCTGGGGAGTGAGAGTGAGGATTAGAGGCAACAGAAATCACTATGCTTTATAAAATGTCTCCACTGTGTCCAGAGGTCCTAGAGGGTGCTGTAAAGCCAGTGGGGCTTTGTGTGAGAGCCCAGCAGAGGAAAGGAGACTTCCCTATTGACAGTTTTTATCCCAAGGATAAAACCGGAAACACTGAGTCTAGACACTAAGCTTAAAAAGAAGAGTGAATTTCCAGACATCTCCCTGCAGAGTACCTAAGCTTTTGTTTGTCTTGGGCATCCTAGGTATCTGGCACTCCAGAATTAGCAGTTCACCGAAAAGGTATTCCACCCTGAGCAGTGAAGCCATCAGAACACACGTGTCCCTTTCATGATTAATTCACAAAGAAAAGACTCACAAAACTACCACCCTGAACCAGTCCATTCCTATGGTTTTTGCCTGGCCCCAGCTCCCCGAGCCTAGGGATCGGGTAGAACACAACTGCAATGTTTGTTTTAGTGGCCTCCATGCTCCTCTTGTGGACACTCTCATTTTGGTTCCAGGATGGTGGTCCAGACGGACAGCAATATCCTCTTGTTCCAGTTTGAAAACGTAAAGTGGCAGTACAGCATGGACAAAAACAAAGCAAAGAAGAGTAAGGATAAGGAGGAGGAGAGGGAAGAAACCAGCAATGGGGATGGGCATTCCAAGTCCAGCATTCAGGTTCAGAGCCTGAGAGATTCTGTGTCCAGTAAACAGACTATGGGCCAGGAATTCTTATCAAATAAACCTCAGAAGTCTCAAGTTCATCTGAAGCCAAACAAGAAGGTCTCTTCAGGTAAAACATCAAGATCATTATGATTTCAGTGACAATCAGTGGGGATGAGCTCTCTCTCTCTCTCTCTCTCTCTCTCTCTCTCTCTCTCTCTCTCTGTGTGTGTGTGTGTGTTGATAGAGTCAGGGAGGGGGGAACTATTATGGATATTATGGACATTTAATTAAGCTATTACTTATTATGTCCTCAGGGGAGACACAAAGTTACTATACACAGGAAGCTGTTCTATACAGAATGTGTTATCATTAGACTCCTGAGAGAGAATCCGTGCACCTGAAGATGTTAATTTTAAGGCAGGTGTGTGTGTGTGTGTGTGTGTGTGTGTGTGTGTGTGTAGTTATGTAAGTGGGGGTATGTACATGGTACCATGGTATTTATGACATCTAAAGAGCAAATCATACTAGCAAGACTCCTTCATGCTACCTGTCTCTGTGGCATGAAGCTGGACTCAGGATCTACAGAGAACAACAACAGGTCACCTTCAAGAGCATCACACTGCAAATGACCAGTTAATTCTGGAGAAACTGGGAGTTTCAGATGCTTAAAGCTTATATTCTGTAGGAAGGATCTGTGGAAGGGGAGCCATGATGAAACCCAGATCTTGGAGCCAGGCTGCTTAGTGCCAGCGACAAGGATCATACAGTGGTATCTTGAGTAAAAACCAGTTGAATTATTGCTGTATTCCCCACTACTCAGGTCTAATCAAATTACCTACTGACTGTGGTTTCTTCTTCAGTCTTAACCTAATCATGTTAATAGAGATTTATGACCAAGGAAAACCAAAGACACCCCAGAGGGAAGGCAGGAAGAGAGCTGGTGATGTTGGGGAAGATGGGCTAGAGAATCTGGAAGCAAAATCTGCAGGCGAAGAGAAGATGAATAGTGATATTTTACTTTGAAGAAGAGCTAAGGTCTCTCCTGCCCCCAATCTCTCTCCTTGTTTTTTAGCCTAAACTGCTTCTTTGGGAGTGGTGCAGTTATGCTTTCTGCAAAGAAGAATTGGCTTCCCACTGGTTCCTACTAAGAGGGATCAGTTTCTTGTTTCTTTCCTAACTTAACTCAAGGCTGTGGAGTGGAAGCCTTTCTAAGCGCCTCACCTGTTTCTTGTCTCTGCCTCCCAACCGGCTCCCTCTTGCATTGTGTCATTTGGATTAATGGGCACATCAGAAGAAGGAAGAAGGGGTCAGGCTGGTTGGAGGGGATTTCTTGAGAGAGGAGAGAGACTGGAGTGTGTGTGGAGAGGTGTGTGTGTGTGTGGGGGGGTGAGTGTGTATGGGTGATGTGTGTGAGACAAGGAGATGAGGGACAGAGTGACAGGAATGAGATTTTAAGAAGTACTTTTAGATATCATGGCTGGGATGCCTCTGATGGTTTTGAAAGGCATTGGAAAACTTTTCAAATGTTTTTTGTTTTTGTTATTTAAATATTTTTTGACTAGTTGTAATGTTCCCTTGAAAAAAAATCCCCACACAGACTGGTTTCAAAGTGAGTCAAACAATTAAGATTTAATGGTCTACCCTAAACATGGGCATCTTATATTTGTGCATATACACAGTTGTACCTACAGAATGGAGTCCTAGGAATAAAACTGCTGAGCTAAAGGGCAAATACACTTAAAAACTAGAGAGTTATTGTCATGGTTGAACTTAAAAAAAAGCTGCAGAATCAATTTATACTCCCATTAACACTGTGAGTGCCCTTACCACATGCAAGCCAGCTCTGGGCATTGCCTATCTCCTCCTGTTTATGTGGTGAATAAAAATGGTATTTGCATTTCCTTAAGGTTCATTATTAACAAATAAAATGTCCATCAGAGTAGACAATGGTAAATAGTAAACCCAACCTGCCACTATCGATATTATATAACAGCCAAGATTCATACCATGAAGATCTGTATGTGTATTAAATTGCAGATCTAAGATATATTACCATACCAAAAAAAAAATCAGAAAACCCTACCACAACAAAATCCCCAGAATAATGAAAAAGAAAAAAAAAATTCCATGTTTCCTGAACTTAGTAGGAGAAGGGAAGATTCTGACAACCAAATTATCCCAGTGTTTTATGTTTTTATAAAACACTGTTTAATTAGCAAAGCAAAGATCAGGAACACTTGAAGTTTCACACTACCCTCATCTGTCCTTTTTGGGACACCATCCAATGGCCAAAGGAAATTATATGCATAATACCTAGTTGCTGTTCCTTTCATGGCAGAACTCTGGGTTTGGATTGTTGAAAGGCTTCAGACAGGCAACTGATTTCTCCTTCTCTTGACTCAGTTATTTTTGAAAACAAGGGGCTTGTTTTTTTGGAGGGACTAAAAAAAGGCAAAATGAGAATGACATAAGAGATCTGGGGCTGGAGAGATGGCTCAACAGTTAAGAGCACTGGCTGCTCTTCTAGAGGTCCTGAGTTCAATTCCCAGCAACCACATAATGGCTCACAGTCATCTCTAGTGCAATCTGATGCCCTCTTTTAGCATAAAGTCATAGGGCACTCATATACATAAAATAAATAAATACATCTTTAAAAACAAAACAAAAAAAGCCCAAATGTTTAAGAAAAAAAAGAGAGATCTACATCAATCCAAGAGGACATCTTTGTTAACTGGATGGTCTTAGATACCTCAACTATAAAGTGGTTTGTAGAAAGGATTCTGTTGTTCTGGTGAACATTTCCGATTCATAACTATTGGTCAGAACATTTTGGCGACTCCTCTTTAGAAATCTAGTTTTAGCCATGCTATGATACATTGCATTAGGCAGGAGTGACGTTCTTAGAATCTAGGCCTGATTCTGGGAAACATAACTGAAGCTGGTTAATTAAATGAAAATTGATCTTTGCAGTATGATTATTGATGACAATGGGGATATGCTATAAATCTGCAAGACCTATTTTATGGGAGTCATGAATGAGATGCGAGAGTCATTCTCACAGGAATTTTTGAATATGTGTGGAACATTAGAATTACATAGGCTGTCTTCAAAATATGACACCCTACACAAATATTAGTATAGTCATTAGAAACAAGCCCTTTCTGCTGTCATCATTTCTGATGTCACCTGGCATGTTTGTTGGCATGCCTTTTGGGCAACAAAACCTCCGTGTGCCTAGCAGTTAGAACGGCTTCGGCTTTTCTGTATAGATAGTCTCTATTTCCCATGGAATGCTGATGTGCCTTTGTTTTCTTTCTGAAGAAGCAGATGATGGGCCAAGTCCTGGAGGTCAAATCAGTCATCCAAAGAAAAAGTTCTGGAAAGTCCCTATGACACCGGACCGATTCCTTCTGACTGTCAATTCTCTGCAGCAAGCCCACAATTCTGAAGAGTTTGCTTATCCCCACAGGCCCCGAACTCCAGTCATTGATGCCTGGGGGCCTTCCATTCCATATCCAAGGAAAGTCCTAAGTTTCAAAGGAAAATCAGCTCAACATGCAGTTGATCAGCTGCGATCCAGCAACCTTTCCACCGATGTGAAACAAACCAATATTCCCCTTGAAATTCAGAAACTGCAGCCCAACTTGAAAAAATCCTTGCATAGTCCCAGAGTCCAGTCCACCATACCTGAGCCCATACTTATCCGTTCCAGAGTCTCTGATAGCCCAAGGGGCGAGGAGCACTTGACCAGTTCAATTGATGGGGCAAAGCGCCGCGTTGGCCCCCTGACCAGCATGCAGGTCATTAAACCAAACCGAATGCTCGCTCCTAGGGGTGGTACAGCTACCCTGTCTCTCAAGAAAGAACGGCCACGTTTCTACACAACCCTGGATCCTCTTAGAATGAACACCGGGTTCATGCTGTTGACTGTGAAGGAGGAGAAAGAATATGGAGAAGCCAAGATGAAGGAATATCAAGCTAGTGAATCCACTAAAGTAGTCGACCCAGGTAAAGCCAGCAAAGCTGCGTGGATTCGTAAGATCAAAGGCCTGCCTATTGATAATTTCATGAAGCAAGGGAAAACAGCGGCTCCCGAACTTGGACAAAATGTGTTTATCTAACAAGGCTTGGGAAATTATAGCACCATTACACCAAACAGAAAACCAAGTGAGCGTTGGTGTCTGGACCTTTCTTTCTTTCTTTCTTTTTTTTTTTTTTTTTTTTTTTTTGAGATTTCTTTGGCAATTCACCCGAACCTTTCTAGGAATCAAAGAGCACATAGATTACACTAAGACAGGAGGAGATATGGAGAGAATGCCATCTACCTTCCACTTAGTGAGATGAAGGCAAGAGGAGGTCGTCATTGTCAGGTAGATGCCATTCATCACTACCAGTTTAGGATCATCATAGCTTCCGGAAACTTTTAAGTGAATATCAGGATAATATAAAGAACTTTCCTGGTATTTTTGCATAGAATGAAGCTCAGTTCTGGTAAAGAGGGTGGTGAGCCCAAAAGGTTGAGTTGTATTTAGAAGACTGTATTTGATTTTACTGGTCGGAACAAACTTCATCCGATGAAAATGAAACATATTCATATTTGATACAAAGAGCCACTAATATCAAGTATATCAAGGCTCCTATTTAAATACTTAGGGGGTGGTGTCAGGGACAAAATAGGTAATTTTGAAGAGTAGCTCACCAGCAGGGATATAGCTCACTGATGGCCTCAGGACCTATATAAAGAGTATAGTCCCCACACAGAGCCAGTCAGACCTTCTCCTTCATTAAGACCCAGCTCTTGGGAGGCTAAGGCAGGAGTTCTGAGCACCTAAGTCAGTTGGTACTATGAGGCAACATCCTGTTTCAAAAGCAAGCAAAGACCTCCCCACCCCATCCTCCAAAAAGGAAAAAAAAAAAGTCCCCCAAACAGGTCAGAAATTCACTTTCCTGTCAAATGTTCTAAATTTAAAAAATACGGTAACAAATTCAAATTGCATTCATATAAAAAGTGAAAACGACCAAAAGATAAAACTCCACACAACCCCACAATACAGGGTGGACCACCAAAAACATGCTCCAAGAGGTTTAGGACATAGGTCGTCTGTCCAGCAAGCTTTCTCTGCTTTGGGGAATTATGTCTCTGTTTCTTCACTATTCTGACTGTAGGTTTGAAATGGTGCTGGCAAAGAGCCAGGCAAAATCTGGGTTTCAGTGAATACAGTTCCTTCAGTTCAGAAAAGGTGGGGATGGACACTGCATCAATCTTCCAAGTCTGACATAAGTCGAGCAAACAGAAGACTGCTATCTTAATATATCTAAGTTTCAAAGACGGCTTTAAATTCTCTGAATTTTAGATCTAGGCAGGATCACACCATCACCAGGTGACTTAAAACAGTAATAAAAACAACGCCTGCCACTTTATTAACTGCTCTGGAAAGCCATCACTATCCTTCCCATTTTACAACCGAGGAAAGATGGACACAGAGATTGGTTATATAATCGACACTTAGGGGGCAGACGCGGAAACCCCAAGTGCCTGAGTCCTAGGGCGCACGGGACCAGCCTCTGCCTTTACAGCACTACACCCACTGCTTAGTCCTCTGGCCTTTTACTTACCCCCCCCCCCTTTTTTTTTAAACTCCTTCCCAGGGACACATTTATTTCTTAAGTATTCCTAAAATGTAAAACGCAAAAGTAAGATTATATATACAGAAACATATTTCCAAAGTTAAGAGGTAGAATAAAGCCCCGCCTTTCTCAGAGCATCCACGCTGGTGCTGATGACTCACAGTTCGTACTTTACAAGTGGCAAAAACCATTTTTCCTTCATAACTCACGAAGCCTCCCTTCAGAACCTACTTAAAGTTAGACAACTCATGCCCAGGTGTTTTGCTTCTTAGAGGTGCAGCCCTTGCCCTGGCCACGCTTGCCCCGCCCACCTCTGCGGCATGGCCCCGCCCACACGGCCCGCCCCGCCTCCTACTGCGCACGTCCGCACTTAGACGCCGCTTTCCCCGCCCCTCCCAGTACGTGGCCCTGCCCTCTGTGGCACGGACCCGCCTACCGCTCTTCCGGTCCAGGGAGTTGCTCCCTCCCACGAGCCTCACCGCAAAGGAAGTGTTGCCGGCAAGTGGCTTCCGGTTGGCCCTGTAGCTTGGCTTCTTGGCCCGTGGCGACCAACCCGCGTCGGTTTCACACCGGACCGGGGAGCAGCTGTGTTGACGTGGCTCCCGGAAGTGGGGCTGGGGGGCGGGGAGGATTTGGCGCCAGGCCGTCATGTTGTCGCAGGTGAGGGAGGGCGGCCGGGTTCCGGGAGCGGGTGCGATCGCTTGAATTGGGGCCGGGGGGGTCTCGCCCAGTCTCCGAAGCTGTTGTGTCCGTGTGTCTGCCCACTGCCTGAGCTGGAGGAAGGGCCAGCTGGGTGGGCAGAAGTGCAGGGGCCCGGGCCAGGGGTCGCTGGAGGGTTCTGTGCGCTCCGGGGGTCGGGTGGACCGGGGACCCTGGAGGCGCAGAGCTGGGGATGCTGTGGGTCACCAGCGGGCGGGGAGCCCTGCCTGGCTGCAGGAAGCTCTCGGTGTGTGATGTCAGGGTAACCCTGCTCTCCGCAGCCCACCCGGATGAGGGCAGCGGCCTGCAGGCGTCGTCAGCTCTCTTGCCTGGACACTCAAGTGCAGGGCGGTCCTGTAGGGAGAGGAGAGTACCAGAGCCTTGGTTTCGAGTAGATGTCAGCACGCTGATAGTCACGATAGCTATCACGTTTGTGTCCGGAGGGATCGCTGTAGCCAGTTGGCTTTCGGCTAGAGATTAGTAAACGTAATAGAGTATTTCCTTCCTTTAAAAATTTACTGTGAACTCCCATTTAGATTATGTATTTCCCTTTTTATTTTTACAAGTAATTTCCTGCGGGATTACCATGGCTCAGGCAAATGCTCCAGGTCCAGAACAGGAGTGAATAACATAGACAGGTTTCTTGCCCATCATTGTGAGGTTGGGGTTGTGGTGTTGGCGTCCACAACGGGCGTGGGAAGAGAAGTTAGGTTGGGGAACAACATATTTTTGGAACATAATAGCAAAGACATAATAGCATGACATACCAAGTGTCTGAGGATGAGACAACTAGAATTTGTGATCAGAAAAGTCTGCTGTGGGGAAATGTGGAGTGGAGAAAACCTGTTGGTGGTTTCAACTCAGCTCTCTGAAGGTGCCCCCAGATTGAAGGGAGCTGGGGAAAGACAACCATGTACTTGTAAGTCTGTGACCATGAACCTTGGATCAACTCTTCCACCTGCTAGGCATTTGACATTTGGGTAGTCTCTGCCTTCCCTTTCCCAGGCAACCTTTACATTAAAACTTTTCTGCAACTTTAAACGTTTATTCCCTTGTCTTTTTTTTTTTTTTTTTTTTTTTTTGGTCTGGTAGTCTTGCTGCCTGTTTCACTGAGATGCAGCCCACCAAAGGGATTTTCATACGACTCCCCTTCCTGTCTGCATCTTTGTTCATGGTCACCCACACGCTCTTTTGTGGATTCTGTGGTGCTCCATTATTGAGTTGCAGCCAATCCACTGGCTTCACTTTTTTTTTTTTCCTTCACCCTCTCCAGTTGATGATAATCATCTTGATTCAGCCTTCCTGGGATTACAGGCACAACGGGCCACACTTGTAATTTCTATTATCTGAAAAGAGTGAAGACTCCCCACATGACACCTCTGGTGTCTCCCCATTCATTGTTCCTGAAACATTTGTGCATACTTGTATTTTAATTCTATCTCATCAGTTCTGGTTAGTAGTTCTCCCCGCTTCCCCTCTGTTCTGTCTCAGGAGTTCACAGAAGAACCCAGTGGTCGTTAGTTTTCATCTTTTGAGCAGCATTCTTCAGTTGTTGAGGTGCGCTTTATTCATCTTCCAGGATCATCACTCTGGTGTGAAGGATTTTATATATTGATTAGAAAGACTGAATGGAAAGAAAGAATAGTTAGAAAATAATGGAACAAGTCCTAGAGGCAGGATAGTTTAGCCTCAGATAAGAAGAGAAAGCATTGCGAGGAGTCAAGGAAACAGGCTGCAGTCACGTGGTTTTCTGAGTTTCTCCCCCAATAACTTTTGTTTTCTCGGTGACTTGAGAGAGTAGCTTATGATAGACATCAGCTTTTAGGAGCTCCATCTGCTCCTTAGTGTTTTGTCAGGGCTCAGGCTGATGTTAGCTGATCATTAGATTGTCATGGAGAGCTGATTGTTTTCAGATGGTTGGAGTTTCGGGGGAGGATCTGCAGGTGCCTCTTTTCCTAAGCTGTGAATCCCTGGCAATTGTAACTCATGATTTCACCTTCCATTTTGAGGATTGTGTGGGTTTGTGTGTAGTAGGCATACAAGCACTGAATTTCATTTTTATTATAGATATTTAATTTCCTAACAGGACAGTAATGACGACACTGAAGATGTCTCACTGTTTGATGCAGAAGAGGAGACAACCAATAGACCAAGGAAATCCAAAATCAGGTACAAGGTTGAATTAGAGTTGTGTTTCTGTCTATCTGTTCTGTCCACTGTTGGTGTCAGCTGATGGGATTTGGGTTGAGTTTTTTTTTTGACATAGACTCACCATGTAGTCTTGGCTGTGCTTACCTGGGCTCAGAGATATGCCTGCCTCTTCCTTCCTAGTGTGGGGATTAAAGGTGTGTGCTACCACACCCAGCTCTGTGTCCCACTCTTTGATGTGAGAAAACATCTGACAAAACCAAAGATGGAAAAAAAAAAACCCTTTATGTTAAGTGTATTGGGAGGTTTCAATGTATAGGCACTGTTTTTGTCTGGCTCTGCTTCTGGGCCCTTGGTGATGCAGGACATTTTGACACAAGGGAGTAGTGGAGAAAGGCTCACCTCATGGCAGACTAGAAACAGAACCGTAACCTGCCCTAAGTGACCCACTCCATCTAGATAGGCCCACTTCCTAAGGTTTCCAGCACCTCTCATACCAGTATGCCATCTTGGGAGTTGGTCTTCAAAAGGAGCCCATGGGGGTATCCAAGGCAGAGTAGGTTAGGTGTGCCTGTGACTTAAATGTTGTTGCTTTGACGTAGTATGAGACAGAGGTAACTTGAGACTTCGTTAGAGTAGTTGGTATGTAGAATTTTGTTCACACTGAGCTTTCAAATTAGCAAACTTGAAAA